CATTGTTTTTAAATAAAATTTTTTATCTTTTATTCTTCTTTTTTAAAAGTTTTCTAACCCCTGAGAATATCATGGACCACTTTAAGTACAAAATACAGCTCTCTGAGAGAAAAACCAAAAGTTTTTTTTTAAACAAATTTACAAACAACTCAATTCAAGAACTTAAGAGCGCAGGCCTCTGAAGCTGATTATTCCATTACATCTAACAGTAGGAACAGACACAGCAGAGCCGTAAGTTAGAAGAGCTCGGTCACATCAAACTTCAGTGGCAGCCATGTTGGGGCCATAAAATAATAACACCAAAGTTATAGAGATACACATGGATGATCAGAACTATAAATCATTTCTCTTGATGCCAAAAAGCTGCACTGTGAACAGAAACAACTGTCACTTTTTAAGACTTTGATGCCTAGAAATCATCAAATAATGTGCACATGCCAAGCAGTACGGTGAGTCAGTGTTGGTTTTATATTAATGATAATTATTTTTAAGCTGCTCATGAAACATGCTTTTCCACTCTTAGGTCATGTGACCTGAGCCAGCTCAGACTGAGAGATGTGGATGAAAACACAGATAAAGCTCGTAAGTGGACATGTCAGTCGAGATGGTTTTTCCACATGCTCAGTTTTAGCTCCTTAGTTAATTAAATGACAAATGAGGAGAATCTGTAACCAAATGCAAATGGGAGACTTGTGTGTTCCTGATTGATTGATGAGTTTGGCCAAAATGTCGGCATCATTTTTATATGGAAAACTGAAAAACAAAGCAATATTAGATAATTCCACTGAACAAAATACAAAGAAAGAAGTTGTTTTTCCACCAATGTCAGAAAAGAACATAGTTCTAATTGGAGTCAGCCTGATAATGCTTTGTTTCTTGTGTTTTTCTGTTCTCCATGTGTATCTCATAGAAGCAGCGACATGGTGCTCTCAGTGCAACCTGGTCAAACTCTGTTAATCCATGGCTCTGGGCTGCAGCGACCTAGTTACCGGGGGCACAGACCAGTACGCAGCGCTTTGCGCTGACAATATGGTGTGGCTCTGCTTTGCTAACAACTGCACACACTAAAGTTGATTAATGGCAAAAGCTGCATTTACATCCTTGTTTCAGGCACTAGACACTTTTTAAAGTGACAAGGAGCCCAATGCTGGCTACACGCGGTAACCATTCCATCCGGGTTACCTTTTGGTTTGATTGTTATGAGTCCGATTGAAAAACGACTGATTGATCTTCTTAATGATTGTTTGGTCGATTTAGGGGGTCGAGGGGAGGCAGGGCGAACGACAGAAGGCACAAGAGTTTCTAGGTTGATTTTTCAGGCAAAAAGAAAAAAATCTGAATTAGGAAGAATTTGAAAGCAGCTGGCAAATGTTTGGATATTTTAACAACAGCTGTGATGTGAGCAGAGGGATTTGCTTATAGTTGTCTGTGTGTCAGTATGCCTGTGTCTCCGTGTGAGAATCTGAATGAGCACCAGGGTCAGGGTCAATCTGTCTGCTGATCAAAAAATGTTTCTTTTTTAGACTGGGAGGTAAATTTGACATTAAACTCTTCAGTGTACATTTTGCAACTGAACCAACTTGTTGAGACTTGACCCCAACCCTGAATGATCATCAAATATACACACACGAGTGATTGCAATACAGCTCTTATGACTAGCTAGTTGTGCTTTTCAAGGCTGAATCCATGTTGTCCCATGTTTCCCTCTGTACAGATTTAGAACAACACTGGTGTGAAATTGTCTTTCCATTGAACATACTCAAGAAATCAAAGACTCATTGGATGAATCTCTGGCCATAAAAGACCATGAGTGAAACAGACCCTGAAACCAGCTTGAATAATAGAAATAATGCCCCGAAGTGTTTGTTCCCAGGTCTGGCTGATACCACAGACATGAGGCCAGAACTGGGCACTTCACCGTTCAGAAACAAGATAAATCTGAAATACAAAATAAAGGTTAAAGGTCATGTTTCTTTCCTATTTGCTGGATGTATCTCATCTTGTGGTAACCTAATGACAAACTACAGCCTGCTAGAAACGTTTACACCTTTTCAGGTGTAAAAGGATCAAAATAAAAGAACTTTCCTCACAAAGCTTGTACGACAGGCAAACAGCTACATTCAAATTCCCCCAGAAACAACGCAGGTAAGACCTGGAGAGAATTTCCGCAGGTCTGTGACAAGGATTTGGTTGAACAAAGCTGGGGCACAGACGGAGAAACAATGAGCCAGCGGGACTCTGCTTGGATAACTGTGTTCATTTGACTTGCGGTTCCTTAGGATGCCAGCACACTTCTTCTCAGTAGATCCTCGCTCCCAGAATGCAACTTGGGCAAGCGGAGTTTGCGTCTGCCAGAGCGTGTGTCCGCATCACTCTGCTCGCCGTCAGAGTAGGACCCATCAGTCTCAGCAGTGTCCAGGAGGGACGTGGCCTTTCCTGTGAGCGTCAGGTTTAAGGACTCCAGCCTTGCTATGCTTCCACCTCCGTTCATGCCCCTCCCTCTTGGTTTACCCTGGCGGGACAGACGGAGCCGCGGGGCCCCGCCACGATGGATCGTCCCTGTGTCGGGCACCGTGACCCCAGGACTGGAAGCTGGAGGTGGAGATGAGCCCATGTTGAAACCAGATCCAGCTGCTGATGCAACACCATTCCCTGTGTGGACGATGTTCCATGGGCCACTGTCCTCTGAGATGTGACAGGAATCCATTTTGGAGATGGGTGGTTGTGGTGGTGGGTCCCTCTGTAGGTCAGAGCTCCTCGTCTGATGGTGATGAAGGTGGTGGTGCAGGGCCTTAGAGGATCCCCTGGACTTTTCGCCTTTCCGGCCCATGTGGCTGGGCTTTTCCTCTGCAACATTCATCCAGAGGCTCTTTGTGGAGGAGGGGCTGCTGGCGGCGGAAGCGGCCGCTGTAGACAATAGCATCTCGGGCTGAGTTTGATTGGTGGACTGTCCACGAGCACGAGGCTTGCTGCTCCCTCGTGGTTTGCGGCCCAGCTGGGGTGTTTTCCAGGTGGACTGCATGGAGTTCTCCATCATAAGGTTTAACAGGTTCTCCTCACCCTGTAGGAGCTGGAAGAGAGGAGGTGAAGAAAGGAAAGACAGGCAGTGAAAGGAGGGGAATGAAAACAAGGATAACTAAGATGACAAGAAAATGGCTTAAAGATGCAATGATAAAGGTTTCACACACAATATTCTTGATATATCTAGAAAGTTGCTCAATGCATCAATTAATTTGCCTTTTGCTTGTGTTTCTGTCTTTACAACCTCACATTCTTGCCCATAATAATTTGGAACAAAAACTCCCCACCCACCAGCCACCTACCCACGTCTCCAGTGGCTCAGCAGCGGAGGATGTGAGCAACTAATGTCACATTTTGTTGTTGAGCAGAAAAGGCAAATACTAAAGCTGACATATTCTAACAGCATTTTACATTAAGACTGTTTTTGTTTCTGCTGAATCTCATTTTTCTTGTTTGTACAAATTGGGGTTTAGTTATTTTTGGCAAATGTAGGTAAGTCAGTGATTACTTAACGCCATGTTAATAATTCTGTGTTCATGGTTTTTTTTCCTGAGCACATCTCGATAGACCAACAGAGTATGTTCCTCAGGAGAACAGCTGTTCTGCTCTCTCATCTAACTGCTTAACCTTGAGTAAGAATGGATCAAAATGAATGAAGTGGTTACAAGTGTGGAGCATTAATCCTTTTCTGTGGGTCTGTGACATCTGACAAGAGTCGGGTTCCTTGTTGAGCACAAATAGGATTCACTCGTACTTAATAACATACACAATAAAAAGTTTGCTCTTGAAAACTCTTGAGCAAAGTTACACATTTTGACTGCAAATGGATCATAGGTTTTTCATCAATCAATTGATTGTTCTCTATATAAAATTACAGTAAATAGCTAAATATTGCCTGTAATAATCCTGAAATGACTTTTGTCTGACTATCATGTCAAAACCCAAATAAATTCAGTTTTCCATTTCCTGTATATGACAGTAAAAACATCAAATCAAGTATCATATTTTTGCTTAATTGATGACAAATATCCTATTATTCAAAAACATTTCTGGCAATTTTCTAATTGTTGCAGCTCTACACACTCTTAGTTAATTCTGTGGAACCACCAAAACTCCAACAGAATTTTTGACCTGGTCCCATTACAAATGCAATACTTTAACCTTCAATACTACACTGGCTGTTGGTGTCAGCTGGATCAGCGAGCTGTGACTGAAAAGCAAGTGGTTGCAATGGCCACTGCGTTCATCCTTACTAAGTACTGGAAACATTTGTACAAGTTATAATTATCATTTAATTTTGAAATGAAATAAAAAGTAACAGTGCATTAACACCTGAAATCAGCACTTTTGTTGGTTTTTACTTCTTGAAAAGAGCACACACATATTTTTGTGGACATCAGGTTTGTATGGATTTTGGCCTTTTTGCTCCCTGGTTAAGTCGCCTTCTGTGACTAAGAATAACTGAGACCTTCATGTATCTGTGGCTGTCTGAGTTGATCAGGCCGGCAGGCAGGACACTTCTGTATTTGGCTTCAGGAACTAGTTTTGTCCACCAGCGGACTGGGACTCAGTTCAAGAGGTGATGCAGTGTTTGACACAGCTGCTGATTTCAGCAGTTTGAGTTTTGCCATGTGTGCTGCTGTTCACTGCCAAGAGCCAGTTTAATAGAGCTCTCCTCCTTTGACTGGGTTGATTAATGTGCTCTGTGGCGCTGGAATAAAGGCTACTATTGAATAAATGTTTTAAAAAGTACAACTGAATCCAGTATTTAGTATATGTATCAGTAACATTATAGTCAGCTGCTCCTGCAGGGGAAAGCCTACCTGGTCAGAGAGAAGGCTGCTGCTCTTGTCCCCGTGCTGGGCATCCAGAGCCCACTGGCTCAGCATGTCGTCAGCAGTGATCTGAACTGACTGGGCGAGCCAGCTGTCGAACAAAGAGTTGTCCAATGGGAAGGACTTTGACAAGCCTAAGGAAAGGAGAAGGGATATAAGCAGAGAGAGAAGAGGATGAGGTGGGGTGACAAGGGGGAGAAACAGAGCAGACAAGTGAGGGGTGCTGCACATTTTTCATAAATACAGAAGTACAGAAAAGGTGGACTAACCATGTTAGTGAAGTTGGAGTAAAAGGCACAAACAGAGCTGTATTTTGTCCAGTGAAACACAGAGCCTGTTGCAGTGTCAGAGAAACCAACTCACACAGTGACATTCACAGCTCCAAACCCAAAAGTTCTGTTTCTGTCACTGTCAGAAATGAAGACATTAACCCTTTTTTATAGCAGAAACTGTCTCCTTCCCACACTGTTCTCCTCACTCTGGTCCTTGTACAGGACGGTCACAGCCCAGGACTGTGTGCAGTGTGGGTCCAGTGTGTGTGTGCGTATGTGGGAGGCTGCAGACAAAGCTCCCTGCTTTTAACTGTGTTTGTGTGTCTGTATAATTACGAGATTTTCATGGCTCCTCTTTTATCATTGTGGGCTGTGAAAGTGCTGCCAAAGCACTGAGAATCTGTCTGTGGCATTTTAGTCTGACACACACTCACAAACCCATGCATCCACACAAAGCAGTGAAAACAGTGAGGCTTAAGGAGAACAGAGAATAGGGATGGGATCCATTACTTCATGCACTTCTCTACTGTTTCCACAGAAGAGGGTGCCCACATTTTAGCTTGCTCTTCTTTTGCTCCTCACATCTTTAAACTCTCTAAACTTCATAGCGTTTCTATACAGAAAGTTTCCCAGTCGTCCGTGTCACACACTGTTCATGTTTAACTCAAGCTATACCTCTGTAAACATGACCCAAAGTAGTTTTACACTTCAAGCCTACTGTGTTTTACAGTAGGTGTGTAACTACAGTGATTGTGTTTTGGGTTCTAAGCATTTCCAAAATGTAGGTGACCTATAAATCAGTACTGTGCCTAAATGCCTCCTGTGTAAACACATGTAGAGCACTGAAGCTGCTGCTAACATACTGCTCATGCCTTGCCTTCTACGTAGACACAAAGAAGAGCGACTGGGCTTCGATAGCATTTCATCACATCTAAGAATCTGCGCTTGTAGTTTCTTACCAGGAGGAACTTCACAGAAAGTGGGGTGATAACAGCGAGACCTCCACACCTCGTATGTTTAACTATTAAAAAACTATTACCTACAGCCAGTGGTGGAAGAAGCACTCGGACTGTTTACTTACATAAAAACAAAAATTACTCTGTTAGAAGTAAAAGTCTTGCATTGAAAATATTGCTTAAGTACAAAAGTATAAGCAGAAAAAATAGTTAACGTACCAAATGGCACAGTTTACATTGATTATATTATTGTGTAGATCACATTTAATGTTGCAGCTGGTAAATGTAGAGCTAATTTTAACTTTCTTAAATGTGGTTATAATGTGAAGCACTGCTCGGTAGCTTGTGAATTTTACATCAAGGATCATTACATTGTATTTTGTTTAACCTCATTCTGAAAAGCAACTAGTAACTAAAATTTTTAAATAAATGTAGCAAGTACAAAGTACAATATTTTACTCTGAAATATAGTGAAGTATGAAGTAGCAAAAAATGCAAATACTCAAATAAAGTATAAAACTTAGTTGCTTTCCACTTCTGCTTACAACACAGAAACAACTAGAGAAACACCTGACTAAAGATTTCACTACATCAGGACAACAGAAGTTTTTTCCTCTGGTGAAAAATCTCATAATATCTAGTACTAAAAATTCACCGTTCAGAGCAACAGACAATGTTCTGTGACGGTATAACAGCAGGCAAAATGTTAGATCCTGCAAAAATGACCCTAAGCTTTAGATGATATATCATTTAGTTATTGGAAAAATTATGAATTTGAGTGTTCTTATTTAGCCCATAACAAGTGTTCACAAAAACAGTGGAAGTCTGTCACATCCTGGGAAACAGCTGCCTCTCAACAACCCACAGTATCTTACAATTATCACCAGAAAAGCCAATAATGCTGATAAAAACTTGCACACAAACACATTAAGTAAAACACCGTTAAGTACCTGCAGATTTTTGTGGTCTAAGCACTGTTCTCTCTCTTCTTCTCTCTAGTGTCTTCCCAGCCTCCCTGTAAATCTTCACTGGCTATAATGATCTGCCAAGCAGGACGGCAGGAGGTGCTGTTAGGGTGGCTTTAACACCAGCTAGCCTCCAAACACACACACACACACACACACACACACACACAAGCCGGTTGTTTCCATGACGCAGCACGTCTTTGCAGGAGGGAATAGGTGACAGAGAGGAAAAAAACACAGCGAAGTGTGAAGACGACAGGAGGGGATGATCGAGGAGAAGAGAGAACAGTAGAGTTCAGAGACAGGAAGGTAGGAGGGAAACCAAAAACATGCCACTGTGGAGTCTGTTGCTATGTTCAAATTCTGCCACAGACTGTACATCTCAACATTATTTTTAGATATATTTACATCTAGAAAAAACATCTTTTGCAACATCCACTATTAAAGACTAACCGAGGTGTCACTGTGTTGCTGCTGTTTCTTGTCGAAAACCTAATGGGTCATAACTTTTCCTGCCATTCTGTGTTTCATACCTGTTTGAATATCGGCAGGCAAAATCTGATAAGTTTATTCCTTATGCCATTTTTCCATACCGACACAAAGAATCATGGGAAATAGGACAGGGACTGTTCATTCATGAAGTTGATATAAAAAGGAAAACACTATTTCCTCACATTTCACCAGTTTCACTGGTGTAAACAGACACTCGCTTGCTGTTTTCACAGTACAGGACGGAATCTGTGGAAGTAAATATCTGCCAAAACGTTAGAGGGTGTACAAACCACATTTTGAGCACTACTCAGTTTGCAACTCAGCATTTGAGAGCACAGAGTCACATATTTGTAAACGCAGAATCAGATTTGAATGTGTAATCCCGGCCATGCATGTGCTTGTTTCTGAACCTGCGCTCCCAGGTTTCTCCAACGGTGGAGCTGTATCTAACGGCATGCTATACCTGTTAGCTTGACAGTGGTAATGTAGGCTAATGCTAAGTAGCAAAAGACCTTGGTGCAATTAAAGTCCTTTCCAAGGCATTTATGATGTGACAACAACAGTCTGGGGAACAGCTGGCCTCAGTGCCAGTGCACACTAGGTTTCCCCCAGGATGGCAGCACAGAACAGCTGATGTTGTGGCAGCGATTTACTAGCTAGTGCTGCTAAGGCAGAGCAAAGTGAGGAATGCAGTAGCAGCAGGGCAGGACCAAAACCAGGCCTGCACATAAGAGGGACAGAGAGAAAGAGAGTGTGTGTTACTAGGTCTAAAGCATTTCACTACAGTCTGAAGATTGTCGGGTGCCAACTGTCTCCTTAGAAACTCCACAAGAAATGCAGAGATAGATAAAGAGTAACTGGGACGAGTGTCGATGCAGGAGGAGCAACAGAGCAATCTAAAGACCCCTCAGAGTGCTAAAGTGCAACAGGTAGACAAAGAGGGAACGGAATACCTGAATAAAAGGTACAATCACAGAACAGGACACTGGTGGCATTCAGGATTAAAAAAAAACTCAGCATAAATCAACAGGGATTGACTGGACAGTGGTTCTCTGTCAGTCAGTATCTTACCACATTGTGACAAAATGATCTTATGCTATTCTACTGTGTAAATAGGCCACAGTTAAATGTTGCCCTATGTCAACTTAATGTAGGAGACTTCTAAACATTAAAAGAGCTCAAACTTGTACAAATATTATGATGCAACCTTAATATTTTGCCTTCAGACTGAAAGAGCACTGTCGCCTTTCTATCCCACATTGAAATTCAATAATAGCACAGAGAACAGACCGTCCTGCACGACAAACACATACCTAGTTCAAAGCAGCAACAGGTTTGGGAGACTGAGAAGCAATAACTCACTTCAGCACATGTTTCTCTAGTTTGTCAGTCGCTTCTTTGTGGATGTTTTCCAGTAAATGTAAAGTGTAATGTCTAACAACAGTCAAACATACAGATTGAGCTGGATTATATTTTGAACTAAAATTTATTATGGATCTCAATTTTCAGGATGAAGCTCCTCAGTGACTATGAGAGAGAGATACCAAAACAATTTATATTTTCCAATCACCACCAGCATATGGGCAGCAAGGACAGGGGACAGTACATCTGAGATGGAGCTATGGTTCGTGTCTGTCTTCTTGATCCCAGAACACTGAGAGCAAGACAAAGCCCTGGGAGACAGCACCAGACCCGACAGAGAACAGATGGCATGACACACAAACCCATACACACACAGAGACTGTGAGATATGAACACATAAGGCACGCAAAGACAAGCACACAGACAACACAGCGAGATAGGAAGGATATAGATATATGACAGAGGAAAGCAAACAGTCAGATGACACAGCTGCACACAACAAAAGCAGGCCACATACACACAGGGGCTTGTTTGTCATGGAAACAATGCGAGTGTCGATTTCCAAGGATCTTTTCTAGATCAAGCTGCTGCCCTTATCCCTCAGCAGTCAGGTGGAAAGACTGAGGCTGAGAAAGAGAGGCAGAAAGATAAACAGAAAAGGGGAGTGTTATAACACAGAGCTAGAGGCAGGAAAAAGGGACAGCGTGTGTCCCTGTGAAAAACAGTCACGGACAGAGAGATAAACAGAAAAGGAGAGGGAGATGATATCAGAGCAGGAAGCGAGTGAGGCAGAGCCAAACTCATCCCCTGTGTTATCAGGTCTGTTTATTGACCATATTCACTTCAACGGGAAAGTACCGTTGGTTCTGTGACGCCTAGTCTGGTTAAATATGGAAATGACAGACAGCCCTACGTCATTGCTGACAGTCATTGTGTGTGGGTGAGTGGCTCCAAAGATCTCTGTAAGAATGTGTCTGGACTGTACTGCAAGATGCAAATGTACATATGGTGATGGATCTGTAATTATCATGATGAATCTATATACCACAGATTATACTGTACATATGTGCTAGAGTTTAAACCAGAT